CTTGCAGACCTGGGTGCTCTTTTTGCATATTTTTAAAATAAGCATCTCTGGCAACAGCTTCGCATGATCTGGCCCACTTTACTGCGGCCACATCAGGCACACTGCGGTAGCCCAATACCTCTTTTAAAATATTATCCACTGCAAATTTATCCCTCTTGTAGTATATTTGTCCAAAACTTGAACTTGTCAATCAACCCTGGGAGCTTGCCTGTCCTCTAGTTTCTCTTTCAATCCGAGTGACGTCGGAACTGGGAAGATTGAGACATAAATTTCAAAAGTATCCGTACAAGGTTTTGTTTTCAGGACTGTAGAATCCTTAAAATTGTATTCCACATCAGGCAACAAAAAGGCTTTTTCAAGAAACTTTGAGGACTATGCTGTTGTTAATACATAGCCTGAATTAGGTTCCACCAAGGAAAGCTTGTGGCACAGGCGAGAAAAATTTACAATTGGGGATGTAAGTATTACTCGCTTAAGTGGCAGAAGTAGTCTTTCTGTCACTTTTTTGGTGCTTATTAGCCTTTTACGTTTTGGGACAATCCATGTGCAAGGTTGGGATGTCCATGCTGTCAGATCATTCTTCTTCTTTTCACAAATGTCTGAAGCATAGTAGAGTGCGTCAGCCACGTGATTACGCAATTCACCTTCTTTGTAAATAATTTTTAAAAAATAATTACTGTCATAAAACTGAAACATTTATGTAATAACCTAAACAATGAAACTGTGTTTATGGACAATGACAAAATTTAACTGAATAGAGTCATAATCATAACTGTATTTATAGAATATTAAGGAAATTAAAATTAACGAGGCGAAAAGACTTTGTTAAAAAAAACTACCAAAATAACCTTAGTGTACCAGTAGAAATAGTAATGATAACAATAAAATTTAATGAAGACAGCACAATCACATATTGTATTTAAAATTCAAATAAATTAAAACTCAGAATGGCTTACCCTGCATTACAAGTACAATGTGCAGAATGTATATGTCCAGAGATCTTGCTTAAACATATCCATGTAGGTGTCTTAGTATCACCTTATTTGGCAAAGATGGCATGACCTTGGCTTGGATGAAACAATGGTCACAATCATCTCTGGAAAAGTTAAATGAAACATTTATCAATTAGGGTATTTTTATGGTGATACGACATCTATGGAATCAATTAGGGTATTTTTATGGTGCTACGACATCTATGGAATATCCCAAGTCTATTTTGTTGTCAAGCTGTTCCTTGTTACAAAATTTTAAAACAAATAAATTCACCGTTTTATTCTATTTGTCAATGTAGTAATATTTAAATAATGTACTGGTATTATGCATTGTCAACTATACCTGATAGGATGATAAGCAATTCTTTGCACATGTCCTTCTAGGAACATAGTTCTGCCCTTCAGGTGTTGTGATGCTCCCATCTCTCTGTTATCAATTGTTGCAATCTGTAAAAATGACAGAGACAATTTAATGCACTACAATATGTAAGAATAAGAAATTATGACAGCATTTACTATATTCCTCAAATGTTAAGAAAAGCAAAGAGCCATACACCAACAAACCCATGATGATACTCATTAGCGACAAAAAATAAAACATATAATTACCATACTTCAATTACATATGCTAAATTTTAAATGAGAAGCGGATATTTGTATGTGTAATTTTATATACCGACTTAATGATTAAATGGATAAATTAGATTTTTTAAACACAATAAACACTAGGCCTATTAAAGCCTAATTACTAATACTAGTTTATAAATAGATCTATATACATGTCTGAATTGTCTGGTAGGAAATTTTTGTTTGTAATGATGAGGATAAAACTAAAAGAGTGTCTGTAGACTGTCAAATATTAGGTCGGTAATTTATTTATTTAATCATTTATTTTGTATCTTAATTACTTTAGTCTATACTATATAATTATTATAATATACATCTAGGATTAGTATTAGACTTAGTTTAGGCCAATGTTATAATTATAAGTTATACTAAGACTACCTGTCTTTCTTATGTATTAGTATTATTGTATTATTGAAAATAAGTGTAGCATTACTAGTAGTACTAGCAGCTCTTTAACATTACAGAGTGATTTTTAAATAATTAGGAATCAATTTTAACTGCTCAACACAAAGTAGTTGTAGACATCTGTATCTTTGACATCTGAAGGCATTGCCTCCAACATCAGCCAGTCTTTTAAAATTGCAGGATCGGGCATTTTCGCTCCTGAAGGAGTAGTTTGGACGATGGAATAGTTTGCCTTTACTGGGTTTTTTCCCCACAAATTCGCAAAGCTACACAGCCGCGGCCCGGTCTACTAGTTCTGCTTTATTTCCAGATACCGGCTGATGCAATTCCCGTAAAAATTTCTTAATTTCTTCGACTCGCCAGGCCTCAAATGCTGTTTTCGCCATGTTAGCAGCCATCTTTGTACGTTCTTTGTACTCCCCAGTATGAACGATAACTCTGGGTGACAAGGGAAGTAATAACCCCAGTTACAGTCCCCTATAGAGGTGCATCACAGTCTATATAGACGGCTCTAGTGTTTATAGAGGTGCATCACAGTTTATTGAGACAGTTCCTCAGTTTAAAGAGGTGCCCAACAGTTTACAGAGGTGCCACTTCTATATCTAGAGGTACCACCATGGTTGATAGAGGTGTCACTACTGTTTATAGAGGTGTCACTACTGTTTATAGAGGTACTCCCACTGTTGATAGAGGTGCCTCTGTTTATAGAGGTGCCCCATTGTTGACAGTCGTGGCTGTACAGTTGACAGAGGCGCCCCTACTTTTTAAAAGGTGCCTCTACTGCTTATAGTGTTTCCGCTACTTTTTTGCCATATGAATATCTGTCTAGTCTACTACATGTGTCAAAAATGATCTCACCTGTCTGCTAGCCTCTGATTTTATGTCCAGACCACAACCGTGAACAAGGCCAAGGATAGATAACACTGCAGAGTAGATCTGAGAAGTTTCTGAATAAAAAAACTTTCAGGCATTGGAATAGATGAAATATTCAAATGACATATTTAATGAAGAAGGGAAGGCTTTCATTTCAAAGATTTCATCATTTTCCATTTCAGCACAAACACTTTAAGTATTATTCTAACAAAATTTGCAGCAGTGGCCATGAAATTTTCTTCAACGGTATAGCTAACGTTTTACAAATTACCCGTAAAGGCCACTTGTTCAATAAAACGCTTGATCATCAGGGCAGATATCTCATAGCGGGCCATCAAGTTGATGAGACCATCATGGCCGATGTCTGACAGCTTCAGCCGGGACTTCTTTTTCTCATACACTCTCTCGGTCTTCAGTAGGATGAAGAGGATCTATGTGATATAGAACTATTTATAAAGCTTGCCCTTGACATTCAAAGACCCATGTTTTTCTCATACACTCTCTCGGTCTTCAGTAGGATGAAGAGGATCTATGTGATATAGAACTATTTATAAAGCTTGCCCTTGACATTCAAAGACCCATGTTTTTCTCATACACTCTCTCGGTCTTCAGTAGGATGAAGAGGATCTATGTGATATAGAACTATTTATAAAGCTTGACCTTGACATTCAAAGACCCATGTTTTCATATTTTAAAACAGTTAAAAAGCATGAGTATCGGCCCTCACCGTCACATAAAAAATGACCACACCCATATGACCATAATAATAAAAACATTACTTGAGTCATACGTTGCCCACCTTCTCATAATTGGCTGGTGAGGGTAGGTCAACAGCTTGTGGAGCATCTCTGCTTGGTTTTGCTCATGCAGCAGCAGTACCAGCTGATCTTGTTTTCTACTTGGGCTCTCCAGCAGGGCTATCATGGGGTCCATGGCCCCCAGGACCTGGGAGGCAGGGGGGATCAGACATAACACATAGGGGCTACATTAATAACCCCAATAAGAAAGTGTCCTGGCTAACAGACGTCAGCACCCAGCCCAAACTATACAAGCTGGGAATGATAACTTAATACATTTTTTTTGTTGCTGGCATCCGTCAGTCACAATGAGACGATGGTCTGGACTTTGCAGCACGAAGATCCACAAGGCCTGGGATTATTCTTCTAGGATTATAAATTAGTTCCCTACACAGCAAATGGCCTCGCTTTATGCCACTGGACAACCCAAGGGAACATCATCTGGATGATACAGCTTGGTACCAGTGGTGTCGCAGGAGTTGTCGGATTGTTTCGTTGTACGAATGTTATCCGCTTACTAGACTCCATCTCCGGGTTTGAATTCAGTTTCCTTCTCTTAGATGAGTTGCCATCCAAGGTTGACGCGTCCCATCCACCCGAGGTGCTGGTGATGTTTTTGCTTGACTGGGCTTTGATAGGGGGGGGGGGGAAAGAGATTAGGGGGGGAAGAGATCGAGCTCCAATACATTTACTATTTTATAAGTAAACCTTGTGTCAAAGATGTGAACATTTGTAACTTTGATTCTTCTTTTATGAATAAGGAAACACGTTTTACGCTTTGCTGAAAATACAGTTCAGGTGCGTGGAAAAAAGAATATTTTTATGAAGATGTTACCGCCATGTAAATAGGTATTATAATTCTTCTTTGAAAATAAGTAACCTGTGTTCATTCATTACTGAAATAGAAAACGTGGCACAATGCAGCCGGATGTATACATCATTGGCTCACCAGTGTTGGTTGTTTAACAGAAAGAATAAACCCCATACTCCTCCACCGTGATGCTGTTCATAATGTAGAGCTTGATAGCAGGGACACGCGTATGGACTTGCTGTCCTCTTCACTTAACCCGTTGTCGGTCCATTCACTGCCAGATCTTTATTAAAAAGGGCTAAAACTTCCACAACCAATTTTTTAATCGGAAAAAATTACCCCAATTATTTTTTACAGAGTCTCTGAAAATGGTAGTTTTGGCGGGTCTCAGGGTACAATCGTAAAAGACATCTAAAAATCTTACATTGTACGGCAAAATCTTAAGAGTAAACAGGTCTGCACCAACAACATGTCCAGTGTCCAAGATTACCCGTATTAGGCCCTGATGATATCCAGGAAAAATTGCACGCCATACATCTTTCTGAAATATTTGCGATCTTCTTTGATGATGGTGGATAGATACTGGATGTGTCCTAGGAAACAATATTTATATTTTTTTTAAAATTCAACAGTCGCTCAATCAAATGCACATACATTTAATGTCATCCAGCCCTTTAGTTTTAATATCCAAATTTATTTACATATTCTAACTGGAAAATGTGCCTTGCTTTTTGTTACATACTCTAACTGCAAAATGTGTCTTGATTTTTGTTACATATTCTAATTTGAAAATGTGTCTTGCTTTCTGTTACATATTCTAACTGTAAAATGTGTATTGCTTTTTGTTACATATTCTAACCGGAAAATGTGTCTTGCTTTTTGTTACCTATTCTAACTGCAAAATGTGTCTTGCTCCACAGTGAGAAGTCAAACAGGATGTAGTGGTAGATGTGTTGCAGAAGTGTTGACTTCACACTGGGGGTGTCGTGACAATCCTCTATCAGATACTGAATTGACATCAGAACTGTCACATCCATCATGTCTTGATGAAGCTGACAGTAGTGACACTCAAACATGATAGGGTCAATTTAATCTAGGGATTTAGGTTGGAGTTGAAAAACATAATCCAAAATTTGAGTCTATACCTTCAATCCTAAGGGCAAGGAGTCGTTAACAAATTACATCACGTTCGGGGGGGGGGGGGGAGGGGAATTTGTGAAATTGGGGGGGGGGGGGGGGGGGAATGGAATTTGTGACACTTGGGACAGGGGAGGGGGTAAAAAATTTGTGGCGTCACAGAATAAAGAAAATAAAAAATCTAAAATTTTCTAATTTTGAAAACTCTTTATTCAATTACTTTTAAAAACATTCATTTTCAATGTGGATATTGCCTCTGGTATTATAGGCACCATGAAACTCGGTCAGGCACACCTTCTGCGCTTATCAAAAAATGACGCATAAACTGATGTGGCCATTTTACTTTTGGCTCGGTGATGACTTTGTTGTTTTGCGTTTTACTTCACAGCTTTTTAATTTTAAAAAAATCTTTTTGTGTGGATATTTTTTCATATTATTTTAGTATCCAATGTGAACAAAGAATGGTAGCAAGAATACATTTTGTTTCATAGTGAGTAATGTACTGAAATGTTCATAATTTTTTATTTTTTTTTTATCAAAATCATTCAATATATATACAGAGTAAAAATAAAATAATTACAAGCAAATTTTCTGAAGTTTTAACTGAAGAAAATGTTTACATTATAATGGTGTGTACTAAATTAAACATTTGTTTCCATTATGAATTTTTTAACATGATGTCTAGATGAATTGGATTGCTAAACAAATTATTTGAATGTACTATTTTGTCATTATATTTTCTTAACTTATGTTTTGAATTATGTTTTGTATTTTAATCTAAAAAGTGTTTCTAATAAAATGTTTGTGTAATTTTGTTTGTGGAAAAAAGCCTTAAATCTGTGGTGCCATACATGTTTTCTGTATTGTGAAAGTAATATCAGACTTATTGTGTGTTGTTTCTTGTTTATGGATGCTGGTATTGTGTTTGGTGTTATAGCTCTATCTATATCTACTGGGTGAACCGTACCTGCTTGTATGATTTGTTTAAGTGTAGATTTAGTCTGCAATATTGTGTTGGATGTCAGATATAAATGTTGTTCTGTCTCATCAGCCCCTGTCATGCAGAGTGGACAATCTATGTGCCTAACTCTGTCTTTGTATGGTCTTGATGATACTGGTGTCATGTTGTATATGAGCCTATATATTATTTCTTTGTCTTTATTTTCAATTTCTTTAATGTGTGTATTTTTAAATGCATTTTAGTGTTTATTGTTCCATAAACTTGTGTCCATTATATCCTATTGTAGAGTGGTGTTGCTTGTTTCTTTATTAAATGTGTGTAAATTTCTTTGGTTGTCTTGTGTATAAGTGTTTCGTTGCCTTTTAATGCTTGAATGCATGCCATATGCAAATCTGATTGTTTTCTTCCCATGTAATGGGGTGTGTTGTTATCAATTTTTATTAACCGTCCCAACCTTATCCCAATGTAATAATGTGTAAATAAATTTTCCTCCTTCTTTCTAATGGCTTGTCCTATAAATTTGATTCTAAGTGCTTCTAGTTTTGTTTGTACGTCTTGTAAATTAATCCCCCCCCCCCCTTTCTAATTTAGATTGGATTAATGTTGTAATTTTAATGTTTTGTATTGTTCTTTGAAATTCCTGATGTGTAAGTTGATTTGTCTTAAAATGGCTGGTAGAGGTCCCCATATGTTCCCTGTGTATATCATTTTAGGAATTACATATTATGTGTTTATGATTGTGCTCCGGCCAAAAATTGTGTGTGCTGTGTATTTATGTCTGTCAATTATGTTTTTCATTGATTGTTCAATGTTTTGCCATGTTTCTGTGTTAGTTTGAGTCTGTCTGTTTGAAAAATAAATGTCATATATCCTAAGACTATCTTTCCTTACGATTTCTAAAGGGAAATCTTTCCACCTACCTATCCCCATAATTTCAGATTTAGTTATGTTTATTTTAGACCCATGACCTCTTCCAAATTCTTATCATCAATAGGAAAAAAAACATGTGTCATCTGCATATGCAATGACTTTTGTTTCATTACCCCCAGGGATCCTTACTTCTTTAATACTCTCCTCCCTTCTAATTCTCTCTATTAAGAGTTCAAAGGATCGGATATAAAGGTAAGGGGATAGGGGACACCCTTGTCTAACTGATCTATCAATTTTAATGTCTTTAGAAAGTGTGTTGTTAATTATAAGATTATAATGGGTGACTTGTATACAATTTTTACCCAATTACAAAAATAATCCCCTAAGTTTGTTGTGTTGTAATATTTTATGTAGGTAAGTATGGTCTATCCTATCAACGACTTTTTCTTGATCTCTTGATGAAATGTAAGTTTGGATGTTTTTGTCATTTTGAATATTGAATAAGGTCTCTAATGAAATGATTGTGGATGTCTGGATGTCCCTACCTTTGATGCTGCATTGTTGGTTTATATGTATTAGAGTATTTGAATATGGTTTTAATTTATTTGCTAGAGTTTTTGTGAGAATTTTATAGTCTGTGTTAAGTGAAGATATGGGTCTGTAATTTTTAAATTGTGTTCAGTCTGTATCTTTTTTTGGTAAAAGCGTTACCGTTGAAGTATACATAGAGTGTGGTAACTCATTGTTACTGTAAGCTTCTTCTAGTGTGGCATGTAAAATTGTTCCAAGTGCTGTGAAAAAGAAAAGGTAGAATTCTGTTGTAAGGCCATCTGGCCCTGGTGTTTTATTTTTGTTCATGCTGGACAGGGATGTTTTAATGTCTGTTAATGTAATAGTTTGGTCCTTTTCTTGTGTTTGAATTTCATTTAGCTTTTGTATACATTTTGTGTACTTATCTTGTATATCTGACTCAGTTTTCTCTGTTCCAAAAAGTTGTGTGTAGTACTTTTCAAATGTGTTTACGATCTTTAGAGTCTCTGTGTGTGTTTCCCCTTTTGTGTCAATGATCTGTTCTATCTGTCTACTTTTTTTTATGTTTTGTTCTATTGTTAGAAAGATCTTTGTAGGTGTCTCTTGGTTGTTAGTGAAAGTTCTACTCCTAACATGTGCTCCATTGTATTTATTTTGTTTAATTTTTTCTAGTTCTAATTCTTGTATTTTGGGGCTGCAAGGGTATTCTGCTTTCTCTGATGGTATGAGTATTTCTAATTCTTTTTCTCTTTCTCTGAGTTGTCTGTGTAAGCTTGTTGCATGATTATGTGTGATATGTTTGATGGTGGATTTTAAAAGTTCCCCCAGTGTTGTCCTATGTTTTTTTTTTTGGTAGTGTGCTATATTGTTTAATGACATCTGTGTACTGATTGTTTTCTAAAAGTGAATTGTTAAATTTCCAATGTGGGAATTTTTTAATGAGGTTTGATCTTGTTGTATTTATTGTAATTTTCACTCCTTTGTGATCTCAAGTATAGCGTTTCTGGAATATGTTTTGCTTCATTTATTGTATCTACTGTTGGTATATAGAACCTATCAATTCTTGCCTTGGTGTTGAAAGTATTGCATGTAAATGTTGTTTCTTTCCCTTCCCTGTGTAGTGTTCTGTAAGCGTCAAACATGTTATATGTCTCTGTTATGTATTGCATTATTTCTGTACCTGTTGTTTCTTCTAAAATTTTATCTTTTCTTTTTGGGTTTGTTGTATCTAAACTGCTGGTTATATAGTTGAAATCCCCTCCCAAAATGATCTTTCCCCTTTTGTGTGAGTATCTCAGTGTTTGTACTAGTGTGTTGTAAAATAGTGTTTTTTCTGTGTGCTGTGAAGGGGCATATATGTTGACTAGTGTGTAAGTGTCTCTATTGTCTGTAATGTTGAGTATGACCGTTCTCCCTTCGCTATCCCTGTCTTTGTGAGTTATCTCCCATCTAGCTGATGTCTGTACTATTCCTACCCCATTACAATGTCTGCCTAAACTGAAATGACTGTTGTTCATGCCTAAAGATTTTGTATACCTTTGTGCGTCATCGTCTGTGTTTATATTTGTCTCTTGTAAAAAAATAAAATTGCATTTGTCTTTTTTGACAATGTTAATTATGTGCTGTTCTTTGTTTCTGCAAATTCTTATGTTTAATGAGAAAAGTATGAGTTATGCTGTCCCCATGATTGTTACAGACCTGTTTACCCTCAAACTCTTAAAATCGTGCAAAATCGTTCAATGCGTTATAATTATAGTAAAAAATAAACATACATTATATACAATCTATACACCTCAAAATCGTACATTGTACGCCAAAATCGTAAGAGCAAACAGGTCTGTTGTTAGTGATGTATTGATGTTAATAAAAGTTACTTTATAAATTTCTGTTTATAAGTTCTAAACAAAATTTAGACGTGTCGTCTTCAGTAAAATCGGGAACGTCCCCAGGGAAAAGGTTACATTTGAAAACCTTCTTCTTCTCCCCGGTGTTTTGCCCATCAGAAGGTCGTTTTTTTTGTTCCCCGTCTTTTAGGAGATGTTGCTTTCGGAGAAGTTGCAAATCCTGGGACCGGGTTTCTCAGTTGTGTTGGAGATTTTGGCGCTGACGGGGATGTTGTTCCCCTTGTCAGTGCATCCGCATATGTGCGACTGTGCGGAATAGTCGTCTTTCTTTACTGTTTTCTTTTTCCTGTGCTCAATTGTTTGCCATTCATTTCCTTCACTTGTTTCTCCTTCCACGGCTGCTGTGGTTGTAGGGTTCTCCCCCTCGGTCACGAAGTCTGCCACGGTTGTAGGGTTCTCCCCCTCGTTGACAAAGTTCTGAATGTTTCCAGGGGTCATCCCGTCTGTATTATCTTCGTCGATTATTAGTCGGCCTGGTGAGTTTGTTATGTCATCTACCTGTGAAGGCTTTCCTTTTCGAAAATGTCTACATTTGCTGTTCCAGTGGTCCAAAGAGGCACAATGGAAGCACGCTTGCTATCTTCCTGGCAACAGTACCAAGATTTTTGTGTTTTTGATAATACCACACTCTAAGAGTAGA